TACCGGAACGTCGCAGAAAATGATCACATGACCCAGGGACACTGCGACAGTTATACTGTAAATATGAGTCAGTTGAATTTTGATCACGTGACCATGGGGACGCTTCAATGGTCGTAAGTGTGAAAACTGGTCATAACAGGGGTGGGCTGCTGGGGGTTCGCAGGGGTTCGGGAGAACCTCTAGCTAAGATTCTGTGAAGTTTGGAAAACCCTCAAATCCCACTCCTGGCTGGCCCCGCCCACCCCACCCGCCCCTCCCAGGACTCCCCACACGGCCCGTTTTGGATGCAGGTAAGTCAGGGCGCACACGGAGGCTTGGGGAGGGCAAAAAATGGGCCTACCGGAAGTTCGGGAAGGCCAGAAACGGGCCCGTTTCTGGCCTCCAGAGGACCTCCGGAGCCTGGGGAGGCTGTTTTTGCCCTCCTGGAGGCTTAAGGAAAGCCTCCAGAACCCGGGGAGGGCAAAAACGCCCCTCCCCACATGGCGCAGGAGGCCGACTAGGCCACGCCCACCATGGCCACGCCTACCCAGCAACCGGGCAGAGAACCCCTTGCTAAAATTTTTGAAGCCCACCCCTTACTCATAAGTCACTTTTTTCAGTATCTTAACTTCAAACAATTACTAAATGAACGGTCGTAAATCAAGGACTACCTGTACTTTATTTAAACAAAATTTTGCCAGCAAGAGGAAATCAAGAGCTTGTGCCAAGGGAGGAGATCAAGAATGTCTGATTATGTTAGATAATCAGCAGAGTCCAACCAATTCTAGGATTTTTCAACCATATCTGAGATACCGTCGTAAATCAAGGACTCTCTGTCTGATGTCTCTTTTATTATAGGTCAGTGTTTCTCAATCTCAGCGAGTTTAAGACCTGTGGACTTCAACTCCCAGAATTCCCCAGCTGGAATTCTGATTGAGAAACACTGTTATAGGTAGTTCTCAACTTATGTCCAGAACTGGGATCAGAATCCCAGTTGGCAAGCAAGATAATGGTTAGCTGAGTCACGCCCAATTTTGTAACTCTTTTTTTTGCCACTGTTGTTGAGTGCATCACTGCAGTTGTTAAGTGGAACACACGGTCATTAAACAAAACATTGACTTTGTAAGTTGAGGACTACTGTAGTTAATACATTTCAAGATACGTTTTGTAGTTCTTCAATTATGGGCATTTTTCTACCGAGTAAAGAAACACAGGATGTCCCAAATTTAAGAGCATTTGGCATCCTTTCGTAAAGGTTATATTTCAAGCTGGGAATGTAGAGAGTTAGAATGCCAAGATCTGTGAACTGGAAATCACAGTGAAGGACACATTTCCAATCCTACATTAAAAAAATCCTGTTTACTACCATGCTCCCTTTATCTCAACAATATAATTTAGGCAGTAATACAATGGGGAGCATATGTCATTAGAGGTTGAACTTGACTTGCTGGCATGTAATTAACATTGCTGCTAATTGAGAACGAGAAGCTAAGGATAACCCTCTTGGGGTCTCGCGATAAATTTAAATCTATGATTCGCCCTCCATGCTGCATTGAATATCTTCTAGCTAAAACACCAGAAGTTGGATCTCAGCCTTGGTGTAGAATATTAATTTCCTATCTCTTTGATCACACGGGGTAGTTTATGGCGTAATTAGAAAACAGAACTCAATCATCTCGAGCTTTTACAATTCAATTACGGAATTGCCCGTGATTTTATTAATTTCAGCCGGTTCATTGTCTTTGGATAAATACGATTAACAGCAAGGAAAATGTTCATGTTGTCCTTTGTAGAGTAGAAATGTGTTCTATCTGCAGGAAGCTGGATATTAAATGATGTTTCATTCTTTTAGGTTCCAACTGATCCCACACTAATGAGTTGCAGGGATAACATAGAATGAAACTTCAAATGGAGAGAGTATTTTCCTCCCTTATTATATTTTCTATGGAATGGCTTTGCAACACATGTGTCTTATATTGAAAAGGAGAATCCAGGACTACAGGTAGTCCTCAACTTACGACAGTTCATTTAGTGACTGCTTGAAGTTACAATGGCACTAGTAGTGGGTTTCACTTACCTTCGCTACCGGTTCAGAACTGTGAGCTCGCTTGCGCGTGGTGCTTCTGCCTATGCGCAGAAACTTTTGCACATGCGCAGAGCATCCGTGATGACGTTTGGACGGAGCCTCCCGCCGCCGCTACCAATTCGCCCGAACCGGGACAAACCGGTAGTAACTCACCACTGAACGATACTGAAAAAAGTGAACTTATGATCATTTTTCAAACTTACAACTGTTGCAGCATCCGTAATCAAAATTCAGATGTTTGGCAATCGACTCATAGTTATGACCCAGGGTCATGTGATCCCCTTTTGCGACCTTCTGAGAAGCAAAATCAAAGGGGGAAGCCAGATTCACTTAACAGCTGTGTTACCAACTTAACAACCGCAGTGATTCACTTAACAACCGTGGCAAGAAAGGTTGTAAAATGGGGCAAAGTTTACTTGCTTAGCCACAGAAATTTTGGGGTTGTAAAATTGTGGTCATAAGTCAAGGACTACCTCTAATATCAGTAGCTTGGCAAAGCTTTCTGGCACTTCATTAGCAGCCACTGGAACAGGAAAGATGGCGATGTAATTTCTAGGCTGAATTTGGATACCGCAGCTTGGAGGCTCTTGTGTTTTTGGCATCTGGGATTTTTCTTTGAGCAAGAATGATCCGATAGATATTCTATGCATGGAGAGTTTGAAAAGTCTTTGATAAAAATCTCTCATCAAAGGCCTTTGGGCAACTCAGCTGCTGTGAGATAAGGGGGCAGATGCTCTCAAGGATTGGCAAAGACGGGCTAAAAAATAGAAAACAGTGAGAACAGACAAAGGGATAATTCTGAAAAGAGATGAGATACCCATAGTGACATTGGTGCATTTTAATGTGTTGATAAATGATCTGAATTCAGAATAACAGAGTTGGAAGGGACCTTGGAGGTCTTCTAGCCCAACCCCCTGCTTAGGCAGGTAAACCTACACCACGTCAGAGAAATAGTTATCCAATCTCTTCTTAAAATCTACCAGTGTTGGAGCATTCACAACTTCTGGAGGCAAGTTGTTCCACTGGTTAATTGTTCTAACTGTCAGGAAATTTCTCCTTAGTTCTAAGTTGCTTCTCTCCTTGATTAGTTTCCACGCATTCTACCCTCAGGTGCTTTGGAGAATAGTTTGACTCCCTCTTCTTTGCGCAGCCCCTGAGATATTGGAAGACTGCTATCATGTCTCCCCTAGTCCTTCTTTTCATTAAAATAGACATACCCAGTTCCTGCAACCATTCTTCATATGTTTTAGCCTCCAGTCCCCTAATCATCTTCGTTGCTCTTCTCTGCACTCTTTCTAGAGCCTCAACATCTTTCTTACATCGTGGCGACCAAAATTGGATGCAATATTCCAAGTGTGGCCTTACCAAGGCCTTATAAAGTGGTATTAACACTTCACGTGATCTTGATTCTATCCCTCTGTTGATGCAGCCTAGAACTGTGTTGGCTTTTCTGGCAGCTGCTGCACACTGCTGGCTCATATCCAAATGGTTGTCCACTAGAATACCAAGATCCCTCTCACAATTACTACTATTGAGCAAGGTACCACATATACTGTACCTGTGCATTTTGTTTTTCTTGCCTAAATGTAGAACCTTACTTTTTTCACCATTGAATTTCATGTGGAGTTAGAATTAACGGTGAGATGGCCATGTTTACGGAGGGTACCAAATTGCTCCTGTCGATAAAGTAAATTAATAAAGAATGGTGAAGCACTCTAAAAGGATCCTTCCAAACTGGAGAGGATGGGCTTCAAAATAGCAAATGCTGTTCCAGGTAAATAAGCGTGAAGTGATGCACATTGATTAAAATAAAACAAAATAAAATGCTTGCAGTATTTCTTGACCTTAGCAGAGGACACTTCTAACGTACAGAATCATATAGAGAAGCTGCCACCTGGAGACATCCTAACTTGGTAGTCCGTACGGCAGAGGTCTTAAAACTGGCAGCTTTAAGACTTGTAGACTTCAACTCCCAGAAGCATAGCTGGCTGGAGGATTCTGGGAGTTGAAGTCCACAAGTCTTAAAGCTGCCAAGTTTGAAGACCTCTGCCCTAGGGTGTTTTTCAAAAAACAACTAGATTTTCTTGTTTTGTTTTTTTTCCCTTGAAGAGGTTTCGCTTCTCGTCCAAGAGGTTTCTTCAGCTTCTTGGATAGTGAAATGAAATGTCTTCAAGGAAAAAAAAAAACAAGAAAGGTCAATTGCCTTTTGAAAAAATACCTTTGGGATAACCATGACCTGGATGATTGAGAGTCTCCATAGACATCGTAACCTGATAGATTGTGGGAGCTTCGTCACTGGGAGCTTTTCAAGACGAGACTGGATTGCCATCTGTCAGAAATGGTGTAGGGTCTCCTGCTTGGATGGGGGTGGAGGTGGGCTAGATGATCTACAAGGTCCCTTCCAACTCTGTTGTTCTGTTATTCTGATAGGTAATCAAAAGCCATTTCCAGTCCGAATAGATAGCATTGAATCAGAACAGGCTCAGATATGGTCGAAAAGTTCTAGAAAAGGTTGGCCTCTGTTGATTATCTAGTGCAGGGGTGTTAAATTCTGGCCCGCGGGGTGCTTAGATCTGGCCTGCGGGGCCGCCCTGGAAACAGCGAAGGACCGGCCCGTGGTGCCTCTGCCAGCAAAAACGGAGCTCAAGGGGGCTGCATGCGGCTGTCCTGAGCTCTGTTTTTGGCCGCAATGGCTTCCTGTACCCCTCTGCCAGCGAAAACGCAGCTCTGTTTTCACTGGCAGAGTGCTTGGGCCACCACAGGTGACCCCAACAGAAGCGACGTTGAACTGGTCATGCCCCCTGGCCTCGCCCCCCCCGTCAAACACAACCCTGTTGCGGCCCTCAATGAAATCGAGTTTGACACCCCTGATGTAAGTCATTCTTATCCAGTGCATAGATAATTTTACACAAACCTGTCTTTTATTTGTTTGCAGCAGAGTCACACAAGATGTCCTGCCCACAAATGTTCAGTCGAATCGCCTGGATGGCTGCCTATTCAACATTCTGTAAGTCAGAACATTTCAATTTTTTTCTTCTTCTCTGGTGTGATGATTTGAAAGAAAGACGGAAACGGATGTATGCTAGAAATAGACACAAGGACCTAATAGTAGAATAAAATAAAAAAATGTTCTCAAAGAAGCATCCCCACCCACAATGGATGGGGCCTGACCGACACCGATCTGTATAGATTCCTTCTGAAATTTAGCTTTAGCAATTTTGCTATGGCTCTGAGTTTTCCTAATTCTTTGTAAGCGTGCAATCTGCAGAATATCAGTTTGCTGGTTGTCACTACTGGCAGTTCTTGTTCAACAACACGAATCGGAAGCTGTTGCTTTAAGTGGAACGGTTGTAAATCGGAAAAAAAAAACATACGACCATGCCACTTAATGACAGCAATTCTGGCAGTCCTGGTTGCTGTCATTAAGCAAGGACCACGTGAGTTATTAAGCGAAGATCTCATGTAACCGTGACTTTCGACTTCCTGCTGGCTTCCCCATTGATTTTGATAGAGGGAATCCAGCAGAGTAGGCCACAAATTGTGATTACATGGGTATGTTACCAAAAAGACAAATCCAAGCAAACCACTACTTCAGCGACATTGTATATTTGAATGGTCACCAAACAAGCGGTTGTTAAACAAGGACCACCACTAAACTAGAATTGGAAAAAAACCTGTAAATGTTTTGCTGATGATGGCTAGCATAAGTTCACAGGGAAAAAAATAGTTTTCAACTCTTGTGATTCTCTATACTTTTGTTTATGTGTAATTCAGATGGCCCATTTCCAATCTCAGAGGCTGCAGCTGCAAATTTGTGCACAGAGTGCATTTAATGTCTTATTAAGTTGAGTGTGATTTATGGCTCTGTTAACACAAATAAGAGTTGGTTGAAGTATTATCACTGATACGTCAATATGCTGTGCAACCCACTTAAAAATGTGTTCCTGAAAAGCTGAAGTTTGAATTTTGGTACTTGATTAGTGTGAAGCAGTTGAATCTCTGGTCCAAAGTAAGAAGTTTCAAAGGGCCACATTGGAGGTGTGTAAATTTTGATTTCTAAAACAGCCTATTGTAAAGTTGTCTGATTTATTTCCGTGACCAAAAATATTATATGCAGGAAATGTGTTGGTGTTTTAAAAAAATTGATCCTGGATTCTTCAGGATTTCTAAACCATTATTTTACCATTTTATGATGAAAATAGAGCAATTTGGATAGGTATAAACACAGGAATAATCCTTGAAATTAGATAAATACACTTGACATCTCCATATTTTTGTGTAACTGATCTAATGTTTAAAAAGTTTTGGGAACCATCACTGAAAGACAATATTTGCACTCCAACAATGTGATACCGTGTTTCCCTGAAAATAAGACCCTGTCTTATATTTTTTTGAACCCTGAAATAAGCGCTTGTCCTTATTGCCATGTGCTTAAAAGCCCAATTGGGCTTATTATCAGGGGATGTCTTATTTTTGGGGAAACAGGTTGTTGTGTAGTTTAGTTTAGCTAAAATAAGACATGTTACATAAAAACATTAGTGTTGTACCATTTTATATACTTATACCAATAAATTCTCCCTTGCTGGCCTTCTCTTTGAAAATCTTTGATCTTAACAAAGGATTTACAGAGAAGCTTTTAAAATGTTGTTATAGATTGGTATGAAGGTCACAATACTGCAGTACAAACTGATCAGAAATATTAAGCACAAAAAAAGTTACCAGATATGACTAATCAGTGAACATGCTTATGACTATTATTATTATTATAATTATATTGTATTATAACATTATATAATAATAATAATAATAATAATAATAATAATAATAATAATAATAATTTATTATAACAATCAGGAAAGGTACAACTAATGTTGAAACGTGCAAAGGATACTGGCAAAAAAAAAGTTCATTGATAAATTATTAGCCAAACTTATTTACTTTTATCGTCTGCACATGGGAGTAGAAAATGACTATGGTTGTAGGATACTGTTCTGGATATCATTTTTGATATCAAGGGTGATTTTTTCCCCCCAAAAACAGAATGTTTACCTGAATAATTTTATGTATTTGAAGAACCGAAGTGAGGTGAGAGCAAGGCCCTCTCTTAAGAGTTGGCGGTACTATTGAATTTTCCTCTGTATTTTGGTTGTTTCTTGTGATCAGCCCTCTGTCGTTCCTTTTACGAGAAGCCCCTCGGTTCATCATACTTGCTTATTATAAATCGGTGAGGGGCAAAAATTGATTTTTCAGAAGCTCCACGTAGAGGCTTAAACATTAGGCCCTGCTGGCTTCATTGGTCTGGTATCAGCAAGGGCCGTGTTCATTCTTTGCATGGTTTGCTGTAATAGAGATCATTCAGCTGGGAGATCATTCAGAACGGGAAGTTATCCTAGGTTAGCTTAACCTACATCATTACTTTCTTGTTGGCTAGTTTTTGTGCTGCCGGGGAAAACATATCTTTATATACGTCGAATAGCCGTTTGATAAATAAATTGCTTTTTATTATGGTCATAGACCAGGATAAGGAGGAAGGAGGGACACTCAATTAAAAACCAGAGAAGATGCATCAGAGTCATATATAACAAACTAGAACAGGGGTATCAAACTCGATTTCATTAAGGGCAGCCTCAGAGTTGTGTTTGACCTTGGGGGGCCAGGGTGGGCATGGCCAGTTTGACGTCACTGGTGTTGGGGGCACCTGTGGCAGCCCGAGTGTTCTGCCAGTGAAAACGGGCTCTCGAGTTCTGTTTTCAGTTGGGGCGGCCTCCTGCAACCCTCTGCCAGTGAAAACAGAGCTCGGGGAGGGGGGGGCTGCATGTGGCCCTCCCGAGTTCCCTTTTCGCTGGAAGAGGCACCGTGGGCCAGTCCTTCACTGTTTCCAGGGCAGCCCCACCGGCTAGATCTAAGCACCCTGCGGCCCGCGAGCCTTGAGTTTGACTAGAAGAGACAAAAAATATATGTTAAAACAGGAAATACCTATAAATAAACAAGAGCTTTAAAAAATCTAAAACAAACAATCTAAAACAAAGGGCAGGAGGATTGGATGGGTGTAGGAGAGCATATTGAGGGCAAAAGAAGAAGGGGACGGCAGAGAACGAGGTGGCTGGATGGAGTCACTGAAGCAGTCAGCGTGAGCTTAAATGGACTCCAGAGGATGGTAGAGGACAGGAAGGCCTGGAGGAACGTTGTCCATGGGGTCGCGATGGGCCGGACACAACTTCGCAACTAACAACAACAACAACAAGGAGAGCATAAAGGTTAGCAGGTAGAAGACTATATCTATTAAATTACAGAGCATCCTGTTATGGTGAGGTAGATGCTCATTAAATCTAATTTATAACACAGGTTATCATCCAACAGTTTTTAAGCACTGCTGCGGAAACTCTGGCAACGTTATATGTTGTATCTGAAAACAGCAGGGAGATATAAATTGTCGTGTGCACCCTGGATATCTGTGACGTAATGGTGAGGGGAAGCTACTAAGAGTAGTACCTCTGTACTATAGGCCCCTGGGGAAGCTCATACAGGTAGTCCTCGACTTACGACTACAACTGAGCCCAGAATTTCCATTGCTAAGTGAGACAATTGTTAATTGTTAAGTGGGTTTTGCCCCATTTTATGACTTTTCTTGCAAGAGTTGTTAAGTGAATCCCTGGAGTTAAGAGAGTAACACAATTGTAAAGTGAACTTGGCTTCCCCTATTGACCTTGCTGGTCAAAGGGTCACAAAAGAGGATCACATGACCCTGGGACACTGCAACCGTCATACATACGAGCTGGCTGGGGAATTCTGGGAGTTGAAGTCCACGAGTCTTAAAGTTGTCAAGGTTGAACACTCTGGCATTAAGGAAAAAGAGATAAGAAGTTTCTACTACACTCTAAGGAATACATTTTTCCTGCAAGGATTGCTAATCTACGCCCACAGTGAGAGTCTACAAATTATGCCCTCTATTGCTGTTCCATCAAACCGTTGAATCTCAGCAACTTGTCAAAAACACGGAGTTGCTTGCAAAGAAGCTTATATAAAAAGGCAAGCTTTCATTAAGGCTGGGCTGTTAGGGTTCTCACAGCGCGAGCCATCAATCACCGTAATGTTTTTAACTCAGAGTAAGCATAAGACCAGTAATATCTCCTGGATGACATTCACGTTCCATCCCTGATTTCTTCTAGGGCACCTTGCAGGACTCTCTCAGTAACTTTCCACAGCTCCTGACAGCTTAGAAAGTAACAGGGGATTATGAAAACGATTGCGTGAAAAACGTTTGGAGGGTACAAAATGGCCTCCCTCCGGGCCAGGTTGCCGGTGGATTTGGCATCTGTGCCAAGCTTCCTGCGCTTTCTGACTTTTAAAAAGTTTCTTCCAAAAAAAGAAAAAGAAAGAAAGGTATACTCCTAAAAAAATAAATAGGATAGCCAGCATGGTATTAAGCAAAGTAGTAATTGTGGAGTGGATTGATTGATTATTGGCCATCAGATTGGTATCATCTCTTAGCAACCACATAAATAGAGTTTCTCCATGATGAAGATGTGTCCCTAAATTGTTCCTTCAGGTCTTCCAATGGTGACCCATCTTCCTGTAACTGACCCCCCCCCCACCACCACTTGTTCATCCTCTTCTTCTCTTTCCTTCCATCTTTCCCAATGTTGGAAGAAATGTCCATCTGGGTTCAGTTCCAAGTGGGGAAGAAAGACACTGGAAACGTGGAGACTGCTTGGAAAGATGGTTTTTAAAGGTGGACAGGACCACATGGTTTGAGGTCCTGGGGGGGGGGGCAAAAAGGGAAGAGATGCTGAGAGTGTCCCGGTTTTATGCCCTCTCTGGACTTTTGAATTTGAGCTTGTGTTCTGATTGGTTGTCAGACTCCCATGGGGCCATGCAGGGGCAACTCTGTAGGTTGTCCTTTGAGTCCCAGGCTTGGTTGAGCCTTGCTGAGTGATGATATAATTAAGGGGCTTTGGGCAATTCCTACTATGGCTCTGGCTGAAGAAGGTAGATCTTTGTTATATA